CTGCCCCAGGACAGCACCACCCGCCCCCAGCTCCGCGCATACCGTAGGAGATGGCCTCCATGGCGATGCCCGCAGCGTCCTTGCCGTATCCCTTCTCGTAGAGCTGCACCATGGTGCGCCCGCCGTGGCTCTCCGGAGGGTGCAGCGCGTTGAGGCGGCGCGTGTGGGTGCGCAGCTGCTCCACCGCTCCCGCGCGGAACGTGTCACAGGCCGCAATCAGGACGCTGAAGCCGTTCTCGATGAGCCAGAACGAGATCTGCAGGAGGCAAGAGATCAGAAAAGCCCGTTAGTAGCTACACAGCCTGACCCCATCACCCCACTCCTGTGATCCAGGGTATTGTATTTGCAGGGTGCCCAGACAAAGGAAGGAAGGAATGAATCTGACTCCATGTTCTCAGAAGGCTAATTTATTATTTTATGATACTATATTATATTAAGGAATACTATACTATAATAAAGAATACAGAAAGGACACTTACAGAAGGCTAGAAAGATAATAATGAAAACTCGTGACTCTCTCCAGAGTCCCAACGCAGCGGGGCACGGATTGGCCAGGGAGGCAAAATAATCCACACCAGAAACCAATGAAACAACCACCTGTTAGTAAACAATCTCCAACCACATTCCAAAGGAGCAAAACACAGGAGAAGCAAATGAGATAAATTTGTTTTCCTTTTCCTTTGAGGCTTCTCAGTTTCCCAGGAGAGAAATGCTGGGCAAAAGGATTTTTCAGAAAAGGTGAATGTGACACCAGGGTCCTGTCCTACCTTGGCCAGGTTGGTGGACTTCCCGACGCCGTTGACACCGCAGAAGGTTATGACGTAGGGCCGGCGATGGCGCTGGGCATCCATGACATCGCGGAGGACGTCCACACGGCGCTGGGGCTGCAGGATCTGCACCAGGGCCTCCTGCAGCGCCTGCTTCACCGTCGAGGTTACCGCTGGGAAAAGGGGATGGAGAGAGGACGTGTCACGCATGGGGAATACTCCTGAGCTCCAAACCACACACGGGATGCCACACAGGCACTTACTGGTGAACGTGCCCATCACCTTCCCTTCCAGTTTCTTGGCCACAGATTCACAGAGCTGCACTGCAATCTCAGCTGCCACATTTTTAGCTTTGAGAAAGACAGAGCAGGGAGTCAGTGCTGCTGAGATGGTTATGTACATCCCACATGGGTGTCAAGGGAATGATGGAGTCAGTGTGCAGGATTCCCACCAGACCTGACTGCTGCCCTCTTGAGGGCTTCTCAGGAGTGAGACAGGAACCCACCACAGCTCCTGTGGGCAAGAATATCCCAAACCACGGGCACTACCCACACCAGGGCCCACCCAACAGAGCACAGGGAACTGCCACTAATCCTTCACACCAGGGATGGATCCAGATGTACCAATCAAGTGATCCTTCATCTTCTCCAGCACAGGGTCCATGTCCTCTCTGGTCAAGCTCTTGGAACCTACCAGGCCCTTCAGCATGCCAAACATGCCCCCCAGGCCACCCTTCTTCACACTGTGGAGAAGCAGAGGAGTTACACTGAGGTTTGAAAATGATAATCTGCAAAGGTCAGATGCAGAAGGGCTTGCCCTGAGAGGACAAACACACCAGTTTGTGCTTCCTGCATTACTGGTTAGACTGGAACAGGAGTTACGGAAGAGAAATCAAGAACCATGTGACAAGCAAGGGCTGTGGGAGCCTCTACCTGGGTTTTGAAGGGTTCTGAACAACTTTTTCCTCTTCAGCTTCATCATCACTCTCATACTCCAGGTCATAGAGGCGGCCAGGCTCCCGATTTTTATCCCCCAGGGCCTGCAAGGAGAAGAAGCAGCTTTATGGGCTGAGTGCCACAATCCTTGCTTCATGTCTCTTCATGATCCCTTCTCGTCCAGGCACAGAGACTGGGCTGGGTTCATAAAGCCCAGCTGATCCCAGAGAATGCACAACAGCAAATGGAGCCTGACTTTCCCTTACCATGTCATGGTCAAACTCCTCCACAGGACAAGCCTCTGCGCTGCCGTTGGTAGCAGAATTACTGTAATCAAGTACTTTGGCATTAGAGTTCCCCAGATCCCACACCCGGGGCTTCTTCCCCTTCTCCTTCTGTGCGTCGGGCTTCGGAGATCTGGTGGAACAAAGACCAGAAACACACTGTGTTCAGTGCAGGGAAGCAGCAGCCATCACCTCGTTAGGAGACGTGAAAAATAAAAGCCTGGATTACCCAAAAAGGCAGAAATTTACCAATCTGATCTCCAGAGTTTATTTATCTGAACTTGAATCCTGTATGGCAGCACTTCCCTCAAGCCAGGTATCAATGCACTACTGCTGCCTGCTCACTAAACACAGACCTCTGGACCTCTCCCAGGGTTTCTGCATGTCCCAGCAAAGAAAATCAGGTTCTATTACTCCTCCAGGACACCCTGGTGTCTTCTCTCCATTTTTTTCAGCAAGGAATGAAATCAGGGAAACAAGTCCAGGAAAGTCAGGTCTGGCTTCCAGGGGTCACCAAAAGAAGAGATGCAGCCATGGCCTAGTTTGAAGCATAGGCAGACTGACCATGCCCCCATCACCCACCTGGACTTCTCCCCAGCTTTCATGTGTCTCCTGAAGAATTCCTCCCGGTTCTTCTGCAGGATTTCATCCTTGGTCAGTTCCTCCTTGTCCCCTGCTGCTGAGAGCTGCTTGTCACCCGCAGATGCTTTAGTGGGCGCTGCCACAGCTTCAGTTCCTGACAGGAAGAGCAAACACAAGCTCAGTCCAGCTCCAAGTGGATTGGGAAAGCACAGGCTGCAACACATTGCTCTGGAATATTTATTTCCCTCCCATTTATCTCCCCCATTAACTCACCATCCTTTTTGGAACCTTTGTTCTTCTTGTTCTTGACCTTCTCCTTTGGTTTCTCCCCTCGGGTTTCAATCATACACTTGACAGTCTTCTGGGATTTCAGAGACTGCTCAAATGTCTTCATTACCGTGGGAGCTCGGACTTTGCTGCTCTCCTCTGCATCCCTGCAGGGAGGTGACCCATTAGCCTGGATTTCAGCTCTTCCCCCGCTCCCATCTCTGCTCAAAACAGAAATTTAAGACAAAACCCAAGCTCTGTACCGGAGGAGGCGCATGAAGTCATCTTTAAAATCAAAGGTGCCATTTAGGAGGCCCAGGGCTCCTTTCTGCTGGAATTCGTTGCGGTACTTGTCCCTGAACTCCTTATGGACATCGTCTATCAACTTGTCCACGTAGGTTAGAGTCAGGATCTTCTGGAAGCCCACCTGCCAAGGAGCACGGCCAACAGGCACTGCACTTCCAGCTCATTCAACAGCAGCAAGCAAGCAAAAACCTCTCTGTTTAATTCAGAGTTCTTTAACTTGGGCAAGCTTCAGCCTGCACTTTCTGCTCCACCTTCCCAGGCTTTTAAAATGCCCCCAAAAGGTAAAAAACAGCCCAGAGCTTCGCTTCAACAGGTGACTGTAACACACAGAGGCTGTCTCATGGCAACAGGGACACGCAGGGCAAGGGCAGAAAACCTTCAGTTTATCTGTGGGTCAACAGGAAAGGTTGTATGGATTTATGGAGATAAGGTGCCAGGAAACTAAAAGAGAGAGCTTTAAATGCTCCATAATGTGAAGGGAACAACACACTTCTGGCTTTTTTTCAATAGCTCTGGCCAAAGTGAATTTTTACAAGGCTGCAGCTTCTATTTGAGGTTTGATTAGTTTTAATCCTGTTGCAGATGATTAAAATAAGCTGCTACTGCAGTGGCATTCAGCTGACAGACACCCATGTCCCCCCTTCTGGGGGGAACCTGGCTACACTGGGGTCACTGCTCAACATCCCCCTGAATTGCTCATCACAGCCCCTTATCCCCCAAAATCCCCGAGACAGAGGAGCCAAAGCCGTCTAGGAGCTGAGCTCCAGCCCTAGGCAATGTAAACAGCTGTTTGCTGAAACCTCAGCACAGGGGGAACTGTTCCCCCTCTTTTCAGGGACAATCCCCTTCCTTTGGGTTTGGGGGCACGTGGGGGGCTGGAGGGACCCTCCTGCCACCGCAGGGGTGCCTGGGGGGGTCACTTACCACAAACACCAGCTCAAACTGGTTGTCCAGTTTGTACTTAAGTGTGAGGGCTTCATGGGTGAAGGAGTTGTTGCCACCTCTCTCCTGGGGGAGAGCAGCTGTCAGAATGGGGGTGCCAACAGCACCCACCATGCCCTCATCCCAGTCATCCCCCTCTCCCCACCATCATCCCTGTCCCCCCCATTCCCAAAGTGGTCCAGCATCCCTTACACATGATCCCACACGCCCTGGGCAGCTGGTCCCATCCATCCCCCTCAGCTGGGTGATCCCACCCACCCCGGGGTGGTCGTGCCCCCTGTGCCCCGTCCCTGGCAGGTGGTTCCATCCAAGTGTGTCGCCTCCCCAAGGTGATGGTCCCATCCCCAGGCCCCAAATGGGTGACCCCACACCCGTCCCCCCTCCCCGAGCTGCTCGTGCCCGTGTGTCCCCTCCAACAGGTGGTCCCACCTGTGTGCCACCCCTCTCCTCCCCGTCCCCAGGCAGATGGTCCCACTCACGTCTCCCCTCCATCCACCTCCGCCCCTCGCCGGGCTGATCGCACTCCGCGGAGCTGCTCGTGCCCGTGGCTGCCCCCGCCGCAGGCAGCTGGTCCCGGTGCCCATTCCCCCGCCAGCTCCGTGGGCTCGGCTGACTTCCCTCCCCAGGCAGACGGTCCCACCCCCGCCTCCCCGCCATGCCTGCGGCCTGCCCTCCTCTCCGTCCCCGGGCAGACGGGTCCCACCGCCCCGCTCCCTCAGCCGGGCGCTCCCTCTCCCCCCTCGCCAGGTATGTGACCCCTACCCAACCCTCCGCCCGCCGGCAGCCGGCCCCGCCCGACCTGCAGGAGGACGGAGCGGATGAGGGCGTTGACGGGGGCGGTGGCGGCGGGCCCGCGCACGCCCTGGAAGCACCAGAGGACGAGGCCGCCCTTGCTGAAGATGGTGAAGAAGTCGAGCATGGCGGCGGCGCCGGGCCCGGCGGGGCGCACACGTCGCTCTGCCCCGCGCTTCCGCCGGAAGCCCCGCCCCCCCGCGCCATTGGCGGGACAGCGGCGGGCGGGGGCGGGGCGGGGGGGGGGCCCCCGAGGGGGACCCCGGAACCGGGGGGCGTCCCGGAACTGGGGGGAGTCCCGGCAGGGGTCCCGGGCCGCCCCCTCCGCACCGCGGCTCCGCTCAGCTCCGACTTCTTCCGCGGTGAGATCCGGAGGGGTCTCCGGCACCGCACCGGGGATTTGGGGGACACGGGGGGAGGGACACGGGAAGAATGGAGGGGGGGGTCGGGGTGTGGATGGCGTGGAGTGGGGAGGGGGTCAGGTAAATTGGGGTGTCCCAGGGAACGGAGGGGTTGCTGGGTGTATGAGGATATAGGGCGGGGTCGGGATTGCTGGGAACGGGGACGCTAGGAACGGGGGGAAGCTGGGAACGGGGGGGACTTGGGAATGGGGGAAAGTTGGGAATGGGGGGCGCTGGGAATGGAGTCGCTGGGGTGGCTACGGGCGTGTATGGAGGGTGCCAGAGGGGCCCGGGGGTGATCCCTGGGGGCTGCGGGGGATGGCAGGGGGCATTGGAGGGGCTGGGGAGAATTGGGCAGCTGGTGGTCTCACAGGGGACTGGGGGGTTCCACAAGGCCCAGGGGAATGGAGGGGGCGTCCCAGTGCGGACCGGGGGTCCCAAGGGAACATGTCGAAGGAACCTGGTGGAGGTCTTGGGTGATTCCCAGCGTGGACTCTGGACTCCCCAGTGGGAGGGACTGGTGTGATTCCAGGTTACTGGGAAGCGGTTCTGGTGGTTCACAGAGTCCTGGGGCATTTTCCCGGTGACCCAGGGGGACCTGGGGGGGTTCACCGAGAGGCCTGGGGGGAGTCTGAGGGGTACCTGGGAATGTCGCGGGGGGGGCTGGAGGGTCCCGAGGGATGCAGAGGGTCCCGGGGGCTGCCAGCCGTGCCCGCAGGCTCGGCAGCCCCGTTCCGCCGCAGAGCTGGGGCAGAGCCTGGAGCGCGTGGCCCAGACCCTGAGGGATCAGCTGCCGGCCCCGGGGAGCGCCGGGCGCGGCTGGATCCCCCCGGGCACCCACCCCGACCCCCGGCCCCCCGACGAGGCCGACGTGGTGGTGGTGGGGGGCGGCGTGGTGGGCTGGTCCGTGGCGTACTGGCTGAAGGTGCTGGAGGGCCGGCGGCGGCACGGAATGAGGGTGCTCGTGGTGGAGCGGGACCCCATGGTGAGACGCCCCCTCCCAGGGCAGGGTGTGGCCTTGGGGACCCCCCTGAACCCCTTCTGTTCTGGGGGGTCTTCTCCTTCAGTATTCCAGAGCCTCCACAGTGCTGTCGGCAGGAGGGATCCGGCAGCAGTTTTCCCTCAAGGAAAATATCCAAATGTCGCGTTTCTCTGCCAGCTTCCTCCGCGACATCAACGTACGTGGGGGTGTATGGGCCGGGGGTAATTTGGGGAATCCAGCCCCACTCAGTGTGGCCCTCTGTCTCCTTTCAGAACTACCTTGGGGTGCCGAATGAGCCCCCCATCGACATCCAGTTCCGGCCTGGGGGATACCTGTTCCTCGCATCCCCCCAGAACGCTGCTGCCCTGGAGGCCACCGTCCAGTTCCAGAGGTGGGGGACCCACATGGGACCCTCCCGGGCGGGTTTCGGGGACTAGGGGTCATCCTGACCCTCCTCCACATGCTGGCCATCCCCAGGGATGAAGGGGCGCAGGTGACCTTGCTGTCCCCCACCCAGCTGAAGGAGAAATTCCCCTGGATGAACACGGAGGACGTGGCTGTGGCGTCCTATGGTATGTGGGAGGATGGGGCAGGGCATGGAGACCCCCCTCAACATCCATCCTCATCCTCCTGCATCCTTCATCCCGGCTTTATTTATGAAGGGGAGGTCCAGCCCCACACAGTGCATGTACTGGGGGGTCACACAGTAGTTTCCCCCCCTGTTCCCGTGCCCAGGTCTGGAGAATGAAGGCTGGTTTGACCCCTGGACCCTCCTCAACGCTTTTCGGCGCAAAGCTACATCCCTGGGAGTCCAGAGCTGCTCCGGGGAGGTGCGAGGTGAGGGATGGGGGTGCACAGCAAGGCTTCCCCCCTGCCACCCCCAGGACCACCCACCTCACCCCAAAACCCTCCAGCTTTTGTCACCTCGACCAACCACATGATGTCGTCAGCGCCGCCGTCTGCGCGCATCAAATACGTCCACGTGAGTGTGTGTGCGCCCCCCCAGCTCCCCAGGAGTGCCCGTGACCCCCTGCAGCCGTGACCCCCCGTCTGTGCCCTCCCAGGTCCACATGGCAGACAGCCTGGAGTACCAGCCGGTCGCCTGTGCCATCGTGGTCAACGCCGCGGGCGCCTGGGCTGGCAAGCTGCTGGAGGCAGAGGGGCTGCCCAGGGGGCTGTGCCGGCCCCCGCTGCCCATCCAGCCCAGGAAGAGGTACTGGGGGCTCACAGCAGGGACAGCCTGGCAGCACCCCTCTGGTGGGGTCAGCTCCTGGGCTCAGAGTGGGGGCACACTCCTTTTGCAGGGGGGTGATGCCTTGGTGCTGTTTTGGGGGGGTGCTTTAGCACCCATCACCCCGGTGTCATGGGGGAGCACCTCAGCACTTCTCTTTTGGGGGGGTTGTCATCCTGGCACCCTCTGTCTATGAGGGGGTGACATGGACCCCTAGGTGCTATTTTGGGGGGATCACAGAGTGGGACACACATCCCAGCACCCACCACCCTCCAGCTTCTGGCAGGGATGGTGAGCTTCCTCAATTTTTTATTTGGAAGTGGGGTCTTGCATCCTGGAGCTTCTATTATTCCTCAAGTGCCCCCAGCCTCAGTGTCCCCATTATGTCCCCACACTCCCAATCCCAGTGTCCCCATTATCCCTCTCAGTGTCACCTATTGCCCCCCAGTGGCCCCAGTATCCACAGTATTCCCAATAACCCCATTATTCCCCAGTGCCCCCATTACATTGCCAGTGCCCCCAGCCCTGTTCCCCCCATTAGCCCCACAGTATTTCAATTATCCCCCCAGCGCCCACAGCCCCTCCAATGTGCCTAGGAGTGACATGACCCCTCAATGTGATTTTTGTGGGGGGTACAAACATGTCCACATCCCAGCCCCACTGCCCCATACTGGGGGGCAAGAGGAGCACCTCTCACACTCTGTTCGGGGGTTCCCCAGGTATGTGTTCACCTGGCACTGCCCCAATGGCCCTGGCCTCTCCAGCCCCTTCCTCATCGACACCTCTGGCGCTTATTTCCGTCCGGACGGTGCTGCCGGGAACTACCTGGGCGGGATGAGCCCCCCCGAGGTGAGCCAGCAGGGTCCCCTGGGATCATTCACCCCCTATTCTTCATCAGACACCCCCAGCTTATCCTTTTCCAGGAGGAAGAGCCGGATCCCAGCGATCTCTCGGTGGACCACGATTATTTCCAGGAGCAGATCTGGCCCCGGCTGGCTCAGCGGGTCCCGGCCTTTGAATCCCTGCGGGTCCGGGGGGCTTGGGCGGGATACTACGACTACAACGCCTTCGACCGGAACGGGGTGCTGGGCCCGCACCCCCGGCTGGAAAACCTGTTTTTAGCCGCGGGGTTCAGCGGCCACGGGCTCCAGCACGCGCCGGCCGCTGGCAGGGCCGTGGCCGAGCTGGTGATCAAGGGCCGCTACGAGACCCTGGATCTGCGGAGGCTGGGCTGGGACAGGCTGGTGGATGGGGAGCCGCTGGAGGAGCACGGCGTGGTTTGATGGGGGCGGGGAGGGGGAAACTGAGGCACGGCCATGGACCCCCTCCCCAGGCCAGAGGTGGTGTCCTGTAGGAATAAAATTAATATATGGATGATGAGTGTGCCAGAGAATTAATGGGGTCCACGCCTGCCTTGTTCCCTCCACCAGTGCTACCAGTATCCTCCCCAGTATCCTCAGTTCTAATGTCCCCACTGACACCTTCCACAACTTCAGTGTCCCCGCTACACCCCATTCCCTCCCAGTATCCCCACTGTGTTCCCACACTTGCAGTCCCCAGGATCTCACAGTGTTACCTATTGTCTCCCCAGTTCCCCCTAATCCCAGTATCTTCACACTGTCCCATTTCCCCAGTGCTCCCATTATCCAGTGCTCTAATCCCCTCCAGCCCCAGTACCCCCATTACTGTCCTATCCTCCAGATCCAGTGTCTGTGTTATTCCCCCAGTGTCCCTCGCTGTCCCCACAGTGTCCCCTCAGTGTGGTATTCACTTTCTCTGAATAGAGAGACATAACTCTCTCTCCCAGGATTTTTCCTGGGGAAGGCAGTGAGAAAGCTCAGAGAGAGAAGGAGGAAAACAATTTTTATCTCTACTTGCTGCTCCTGTTGCTTGGCACATGTGGAATGTGTTATGGAGATTGTTTACCAAGAGTGATTTGTTAATTGGATCGTGGTGGTTGTTTGGACTGATTGACCAGCTGGGTCAAAGCTGTGTTGTGACTGTCTGGAAAGAGTCACAGGTTTTTCTTTAGTTTAGTAGAGAGTATAGTGTAGTATGTAATGTAATATAATATAGCTTAATAAAGCTTTCCTTCAGCCTTCTGAATCTTGGAGTCAGAGCACATTATTCCCTGGCTGGGAGACACCTGCATGGATACCCCCAGTACTTCCATGATGATCCAGTGCCCTCAATGCTCCCCCAGTGCCTCCAGCCCCTGTGTCCTCCGTATCCCCACTACAGCCCTGCAGTGTCCCCATTTCCAGTGCCCCATTATGCCCAGTATCCCCTCATTACCTGCCCCAGTGTCCCCAGATGCATAAGCCCATTACCCCATCCAGTGTTCCCATTATCTCCCCAGTGCCCCCAGCCCCAATATACCCCCAGTGTTCCCAGTATCCCCACAGTGCCCCAGCCTCAGTACTCCCATTCTCCCCAGTATCCTCAGTATCCCCCAGTGTTCCCAGGATCCCTGCAGTGCCCCCGGCCCCACTATTCCCATTGCCCCTGATATCCCCAGTATGCCCCCAGTGTTGCCAGTATCCCCACAGTGCCCCAGCCCCAGTACTCCTATTCCCCCGGTATCCCCCCAGTATCCCCCCAGTGTTCCCAGTATTCCCCCCAGTATCCAGTGTTCCCAGTATTCCCCCCAGTATCCCCCAGTGTTCCCAGTATTTCCCCATTCCCCCTAGTATCCCCCCAGCGTTACCAGTATCCCCCCATTCCCCCCAGTATCCTCCCATTCCCCCTAGTATCCCCCCAGTGTTCCCAGTATCCCCCCATTCCCCCCGTTCCCAATTCCCTTCCCTATGCATGTGGCGCCCTCTGGCGGCGGGCGGCAGCAGCGCGCACGCGCAACTGCATTTGGGACAGAAGTGTCGGCACTGGCCTTTGGCGCATGCGCAGTGGATGCGGTGGGCGGTACCGGGTGATAGGCGTGTCCCCTTGGTGGGCGGGGCCGGCGGCGGGAGGGGCCGCGGCAGTGCGTGTGCGCGGTGCGCGCGGCGCATGCGCGGTGGGCGCGGCCGGGCCGTGTGAGCCGGGCCCGTCCCGCCGTGCGCCCCCGGCCGGCCCCGGTGAGTGCGGGGGGACCGGGGGGCCGGGGGGCACACGGAGACACGCTCGGGGGGCACCGCCGGGAGCCGCGGCCTTCCCGTGGCGAAACAAACCCCCAGCGGTTCTGGGCACTGCGGGGGCGGCCCCGAGGGCATTTGGGAGCCGTCCCCCTCGCGCACTGCGCGGGGAGGCTGTGGGAGCAGCCCGGGGTAAAGCGGGGTCCGGGCTGTGAGGGACGCGCAGACCCCCGGCAGCCACGGCGGGGTTCTGCCCCTCCGTGAGGGCCGTGCCTGAGGGTCAGCCCTCAGCTGCCAGGGGTGCAGAGCCCAGGTCACCCCCATAGCAGGGGCGACTCCTTGCTCTGCACGCTGTTCCGTGACTCGGGCTTTTCGGAGGAAGCTGCCTGCGATTAACTGGGTAGTAAATGTGGAGGTCAGTTCTGGTTCCGCAGCTTAGATCCCGGCAGGGTTGGACTCAGAATAACCAAAACAAACCCGTTTTTAAAATGATTTTAAATTGTATCCCCAGCACTGCCATGCCGGGGTTTGACTTCAGCCTGCTCCAGAGCTGCCGGGAGCTCTGCCGCAGCTCGAGAGCTTTGCATCCTGGTGGGAAAGCACGAGCTTTGTTAGCCGGTGCTTTATTTCTGCCTTGTTTCAGACGCTGGTTTGATTTCTCTGGTTGTTTACAAGAGCTGTTCCTCCAACCCTGGTCTTGCTATCTCTGCCATATGCGCAGGATGGGTCCATTCCCTGGCCTGTTGGAGGATGTTGCTGTGCCCAGTGAGGGCCGGGAATCCTGCTGGAAATCGCTCGGGTGTGACTGAACCTGTAATTCCCGGTCAGCCCGCTGTTACCACTTGTGCCGTGTGTTCCCCCCGCAGGCTCCCTCCGTTTCCCGTCTCTCCAGGATGAGAGAGGCTTGGGTCCGGCTGTCCCCCTCTCCCTGTAGCTGATAGTTTGGGAAGCAGAGGTGATGCTGGAGTCGAGATGGCCGACAGCGTGAGAATCTTCCTTCATGACCTCGTCAGGGTGAGGCTCCTGGGGCTGCTCCTGGCACTTTGGGAGCACCCTCCTTCCTGTGGCATTGCTTTTTTCTGCTGTTTCGGTGCAGATTTGGGGAATTAATAAAGGTTGAAAGAGTCTCCCTGATGTAAGTCTTGTAGAGACTGAGAGATGGTGTAAATCTGTGCAGGGATTCCTTCCAGGATTTGTGTTTGGATAAAATCAGGTGCACAACTGGTGTTGAGCTGGTTCTTGGTGACTTTTCCAAGGAAGGAAAAGGGTCTCCAGGTGTATTTCAACCCTGGTGTGTGATGTGTCTGTTGCAAAAGGCTCAGTGTTTGCTGCTGAACGTCTGACAGATTTCCTTTGGGCACAAATTAATAAAAAATATCAATAATATTAGTAACAATAATAATTATAATATTATATGCAATACACAAAGTTTATAAGTATATTTGACTATAGTATGTATATGTTGTGTATAATTTAATAATAATAATACAAATAATAGGTGAATGTCTGTGACCAGAGCAGCTCTGTCCTAGCAATAAGTTCTGTGTCACCTCACTGCTCCCACCCTGTCTTCCATCATCCAGGGTTAAATACAGGCTAAAAGCCACTCATGCTGTGTCACTGAGCAATAACTTGTGCTCAGAAATAACTCTGTTTGGAAAACAGACAAAGGTTTGATCAAAGCCCTGTGGCCACAACCTAAAAGCAGGAGTTGTGTCATTTCCCAGTGCTCCTACACCATCAGCTGGAAGAGCTGCCTGGGTCAGGGCCCAGCTCTGCTCTTTCAGACGTGAATTTGGGATTGGAATTTATCCTCTTTGGGCAAGAACTCCATGAACACAAACAGGTTGGTGACACCATCCTGGCTCATCCTTTGGATCTTTATTTTAATGGGAAATTGTGATGACGATGGATATGGGATCACCTGGAGCTGGAAATAGTTAGACAGGATCCCAGAGTGGTTTGGGTTGGAAGGGACATTTAAGTCTTTCTCTTGCATGTTCCTGGCAAGGGCAGGGACACCTTCTGCTATCCCAGGTTGCTCCAAGCCCCATCCAGCCTGGCCTTGGGCACTTCCAGGCATGGGACAAGCCAGGTCCTAGGAGGCAGCTCTGCAGATCTCTCAAACATGGAGTAAGGGAAAACTTCTGGGCACTCTTATTAACAGGCATGGATGTTGCTGGTGGGAGGAAGTTTCTGGGATGAGGACAGATGCTTCTATTTGTGAAGGTATAAGCATCAAACTCAGCATACACTGAGACTTCACACATCCCAAATGTTAGTGTAATTCCATTTTATTGGCCTCAGAAAGCTGGCAGGGGATGAGGGGCTTCCTGCCAGACAAAGCTGGGAGAGATCGGACTCTGATTTTTTTGCCAGGGTTTAAAATAGTGCAGATTGGAAGAGAAATTACACCTTTACAGACAAAATTACTGCTGGTCACGGAGGTGCTGGAACCTGCAGTGATTTAGGTCACTGGGCCATGCAGGAGAGGTGGTGATGCTGCTCCAGCTGAGCCCAAGCAGCCAGGGAGCGAGGCCAGCCGTGGCACCAGGAGGGTTTGGATGGCCTGGGTCAGCCACATGCCGTGCCATTGCTCCTCTCTCCTCACATCCACAGGGAATTAAGGACTCCATCTGGGGCATCTGCACCATCTCCAAGCTGGATGCCCGGATCCAGCAGAAAAGGGAAGAGCAGCGGCGGAGGAGAGCCAACAGTGCACTCGCCCAGCGGAGGTTTCACATGGAAGAGAAGAAGCAAGAGAAGTGAGTACGGGGTGTGGCTGGTCAGAAATGGGGTAATTCCCTTCTCCTCTGGTAGCCAGAGCCAATAAATGGGAACACGTGGTATGAAACTCCCTTTCTCCACTGCATAATGGAGCTGGAGCTGTTAGCAGGAGATAAGGAGTCAGACCTTTTATGTTGTTTGATAATCAGTTTGAATTACCACTGAAAGAACGTGGATTTGTGGGTTTCTTTTCCTTCTGAATCCTCGTGCTATCTCGGATCCGTTGTTGCTGCTGGTAATTGTGGGATCAGGGAAGAAACAGCAGCTTGGATCCAATGTCCATGTTGAAGCAGATTGAGTGTCTCTTTTCCTCAGCCCTGCTGTGTTTTGTGGAGTTTGGAGCTGCAGAACCTCAGTGGCTCTGGAAATGCCAGAATTATCCCCATGCAGGAACAAACAGCATCTGTTCCCATGTCTGACTCCCTGACCATGCCAGGATGTCTCTGCTGCCCTGATGGCACTGGGCTGGCACCTCACACAGTGCTTTTGGGCAGTAATGCACATTCTGTGACATAT